CATGGTCTTTTTTGGTAAATGTTCCATGTAACACATGCAAAGAATGTACATTCTGCTGCAAATGGGTGGAGTGTTCTGTAAATATAAATGAGTTTAAGTTACTTTTTGCTAGTATTTACTATTTGCTTATTTTGTCAACTGGCTACTGATTAGGACAGGTATGTTTAACTGTAATTTGATTCATTTCTCTTTTCAATCTATTCTTGCATCATGTATTCTGATGTTCAAAAATTGGTGGCACACACATTGTGACTAATGGTCAACTTATAACACCCAATATAATTCAGCATACTGCAGGGTGTGGATCACCCATCTGAGGACTGTTTCCAGCAGCGTAAAAAGGAGAACATTAAAAGGAGGGGAAGATGGTGTGCTGTTGATTCTCCTGGAAAAGCTTGTCACGCTAGTTTTTCTGATATGACCACAGTTGTTCTCGTCGTTGAAAGAACTCAAATTCTCACTGTCACTGAAGATGGCTGTGGTTCTATTTTGGAGAGTCCTAGTCATTACCTGGGACATTACTTTCTGGCTCTACTGTAGATTTCTCAGTCTGCTGGTACAGATTTTAGCTCCAGAAAAGTGAGGATTTTGATGTTACTGTACCAGACCATATAGTTTAGAAGCCTTTGGAAGTGTTTTGTGGGAAGAATTTGGAAAGTTTTGAAGATGACAGCTATGAAAGCCTTAGAACATTATAAGCAGAGTAAGCAGAGAAATATGGAAGATTCTGGTCAGAGATCTGAAGACCAGCATTGCTGATGGGAATGTGAACATCACAAACCAAGTTCTTTAAAAATCAGGAGCAAAAAGTAGATGTGGAGAGACTGTAGTTTATTAGAAAGGAATTATTTGCAAACTTAGGGCTTTGGAGAACATAGATTCTGAAAAGATTAGTATCAAAAAGAAGCCAAGCACTTTGGCCAGGATAATTGGAAAAATGCTTTGAAGATTTCTAAAGAATCAGCAAGATCCCACACTTCGTGGACTCAAGGATGCAGAACTATAGAGCTTTCCACTGAGAAGTCTCCTGGACTGTCTACTGGAGAATGTTCACCCAGGACAGTGGTGGCAAACCTATGGCACACTTGCTGCACTGGGCTGTTTGTATCATTGAAAGTTGTATAAGTTTTTCTAACACTGGCCTAAGGAATTGGCTCCCTGGGATTTATTTAACAATTGCCTGCCATCCAAGCACTTAGAGTTCTCTGCAGCCATGCTTTAATGGCGTTCAGCTACTGCTTATACTGATACAGACTCTTCATCATTTTTCTTATTGCTGAGACAAAAAACCTGACACCCAAAATTATGAAAAGATTTATCTAGCTTACAGTTTTTGGAGGTTTCAGGTCATAATCAGCTCGTTCCAGGGCACAGTGGCATGGCACTGGGGTAATATTTCAAGGCAGCAGCCAACAGTAGCAACCAAAGCAAAAGTAGGGGAGAACAAAGCATCTTTTCCCTTATATTGTACACTGGGCACCCCCTCTCCAGGGTGAGTGTAACACTCACAAAATCACCTTGCCCTCCTCTTGCACAAGATGAGAATGTTTAAAGAAGAACCCTGGCTCCCTGATGAGGCTCTTGGTTAAACTTCTAAACTACCCATAATGCTGACACGGTGTGTCAACCATAATACCGACCTTAGTGTCATCCACAGGGTACTGATTAACAGGCATGCAGAATACAAGATGGGAAGGTTCAGAGAGGCTTTCAGCCAGATTTCAGAGGAAGGCTTGACAGGCCTGGCAGTGTGGCTCTGAGAAGGCAGTGTGCAAAGCTGTGGCAGTGAAATCAAAACTATAGTGGAGATGTCAGGAATTAGGAGATGCCAGGAATGTGGAACATCTGTGGAATAAAGTGACAGATATTGAGTGGAACCTCCCTAGTAGAGAAGTCAAGTAAGCCACAACTAGCAAAGGGGCGGGGTGGTGCTGCCCAGGCACTTGGAAACTCACGACTCACTGTGATTTATCCCTGATGATGAACATGCAGGTATGAAATTTTATGTTTGCCTTGTTCAGTATAAGTCTTGCTTTGGTCTCTTTCCTTTCTTTCTCTCCATTCCTCTATTTTGGAATAGGAATTTTTACCCCTTGGCATTGTACACTGGAAGTATTTAGCTTTCCTTTTTGATTTTCGCAGGGGCCCACAGCTAAGAGTTTGCTTTGAGTCTCAGAGAAGTCTTTGAACAGGCTTTTCACTAATGTTAGAACTACTGATATGTCAGCATCTCTTGGAGACAGGCTAGCTGCATTTTGCATAAAGTGATGGATATGAATCTCTTTGGGGTCAAGGTAGAGTGTAATGGCTTATATATATAGTGTCCCTCAAAAACTTCATGTGCTCACAGATGGAACTTGTGGAATATGATTAGATCATAGGGATCATTAGCAGATTAGCCTTTTGTTGACATCATAGCTGAATGTGTGGTTAGGAAGTAGGACTTGATCTGAAGAGAGGTAGTCATTAGGCACGAGACCTGGAAAGGTATATCTGTATTCCTAGATTCTCCCTTGCTCTCTAATTCCTGGTTGCCATGGGTTGAGCACATTTTCCTCTGGTATTCCCCTTTCTCATCTTGTTTCTGCCTTGAAGCCAGTGAAGGACTGAAAATAGGAGGCAGAATGAGCCTCTCTTCCTTTAAGTTAAATGAATGTCATGTGTTTTGTCCCAGCAATGGAAAAGTGACTAAGACATATATTTTCAAGTATCATTTCCCCCTCTACTGCACGGTTATACATCATGGATTTTAATTTGTAATATTCTGATTATTGTTCATTAATATATTGTCTGGAAAACCTCAGTATGTAGTACTTATTTGATCCAAGAACTCTTATCAACAGTTTTAAGTAGGTTTTCAAATATTCAGACATCTATTTAACTTATGTAAAATGTTCTTAACTTTTAATGTATTTGTATTTTGGTCAGAAAAGTTATCTTTTATATTTGAATCTGAATTTTGTATGTAAAATTTATTATTCAGAAAAATATATCTATGTGCTAACAATCCTGATATAATAAAATGAAATAAATTAGTAAGAAATTAAAGATTGTGTAATCAAATTCTCACCGTTCCTCTCTTTGAATTTTGTCTTAGTCCATTTTGTGAATTTTGCTATAACAAAATACAACAGACTCATAATTTATAGAGAAGAGAAATTTATTATAATTCTGCAAGCTGAGAGAATCTCATATCAAAGTTCTGCTCTTGATGAAGACCTTTCTTGGAAGTATAACATGGCAGAGAGAGAAGGAGCAAGAGAGGGACAGACTAACCTATAAAAATCCCACTCTTCTGGTAATGAACTCACTGCCAAGATAACATTAATCTGTTCACATAGGCAGGTCCCTCATGATCTCTTCATCTCGTAATAGATTTCATCCTTCAGTACTGTTGCAAGGGTGATTCAGTTTCCAATCCAAGCATTTTGGGCGATACACTGAAACTACAATGCTTCTGTTTTCTTAGTAGCACCAGAAATAAGCAGGTCTCCTTTCTTGGCCAAGAAATGGCATCCATTTTCTTGTCAGTTGATGAGTGGGCCCAGGAGGGCAAAGGAGACTAGAGTTCAAAGGATGTCCTGTGGTCCAGGGGAGAATGGCAAAACAAGAGAGCTGCAGAGAGCTGCAGAGTCCCAATTATATCATATCTTTAAATATATTTCCATAGAAATATTTGAAAATAATAAAAGGAACAAAACTCAATATTCACATAACTATTGACAATAGTTGTTATTGCCAACCGCCAGAGTGGAAAATACCTTTTTTTAAAAAAAGAAGCACATTTTGATGGTGCCCATGACTCAAACAAGAATAAATCAGTGTGTTTCTGTATGAATGCAGTGATGTTGAACAAAAGTTTGTTGTGGGTTATTTGAAAAAATGACCTTTCTTAGGAAATATCCTAAAAAGCAAATCAGAATATCCTTTAACCTCTGCTCTCTGTCCTTGGATGCCATGTGTACTTACTAAACGCAGTCACAGCAGTTTATGCATGGTACTCAAGGTTTTGAAAGTCATAGAAGGATGACGTTTTCTACTGCCAAAGGGAATCTGATATGACATTCAGAAAGGTTTGCCTTTCTTGTAGAGAATTTTATCATATAACAAAGCTTATCAGTTTCCAACTGGTGAAACTATATTGTAGAACAGAATATAAGAATGTTATGAATAGAAAACTTAAAAAACTACCTAGCATCCAGGAAGGTAAAAGACACAATGTATGGCATGAAATTAATAATTATCAGCCTTGAAAAGATAGGAAAAAAAAGACTCAATTTATGAAGAAAAAGTCTCAGTTTTGGCAAGTGTTAGTGGCAGTTAGTCCACTTTGGATGCAAGCAATAAAGGAATATATTACCTAGATATAATTTAAACAAAAAACTAACAGATTAAACATTGCTATTGTTTATCAATACTGAGGGTCAGAGTTCATAAATAAAACTATGAATAAATATTCTTTCCCTTTAGAGTGGCCATTCCCTCTGTCCTCACACCTTTGGCCTGCCACTGGACTACTCAGTAGGATGTGATACAATATAGATACTAAACCTTAACCATCTCTTTATATGAACTCTTAATGTAACACGTATTATGTAATAGGTACTTAGTTGCTATATGTTGAATGGAAGTTGGTTTTTTTCTTGTATTTTCATGTGGAAAAGCTCAGTTAATTTAAATATCCCAACTGCAGAAATTCATGAAATCAATCACACACTGGTTGATGCTTAATAAAAATTTTAAAATCTCAGCATTTAGCTGACTGTAACTATTTCCCTAATAACTCACCAGAATAAGGCGTAACAAACAAAGATTTTATAGGATATAAAATGAAGATGATTGTTGGTAAAGCAGGCACATAGAAATGCATTGAACTGATACAAAATTGCCTTTGAAGTAATTTCATAGCTATTAAGGAAGTTAATGTAATATAGACATAATTTTCCATTTCAATAATCTTGAATAACAGTTATTTTTAACTGGATATCTATGGGTACAATAAGAAACAAGGAAACCAGGAGCAACATTATCTATAACATTTTAAATTTATTGTGGTGATTATATTCCATATCATTTAATATTAAAAATTTCAAGAAAATACTACTGCAATGAAACTGTTTCAACTTTTCAGGTTAGTGGACAAACTATAGAATTACTCTTTAATAATTTAAAAGTTGTGTGCTTAAATAAGTTATATTTTCTACAAATGCAAAAATAATTACATCCTCAAAAATCTGCATAGTTCAATGGAAAGAGAAATAGATAGATTTGGATTCTAGTTTGGCTGTACAACTTTGAGCATATAAGTTAGCATCACTGAACATTTTCTTTTCTCTGTCCAAAAGACAGTGTATCAATTTAGATGTTGTATATAAGTGAAGTCTTAAAGCTACTATTTAAAAATGAGTTAACATTAGTTCAGTGTACACTTTAAAATAAAATAAATGATAAAAATTAAAATAAAATGCAATGTCTGATAATTTCTGTCTTAGAACTTAGCATTTTATTTTATAGGAGACATAAATTTTAGACATCTCAAAGTTTAAGGAACAGACATTTGTGTTTGAAATTGAGGTATTCAACTCAGATAAAACAGTAAAAATGATTAATAACTATAGCACAACAGTAGGTTATCAACCTTTGTTATTGCCTAACAAAACATAGTCTTCTAAATATGATCTCAAAAACCTCCCCAATACATAATACCATTGTAATTACAGTAAATGTATACATTGCAATGAGAAAAATGGTCTTTTCAAAGTGTTCTGGAACCATGCATCTTATAATAGTCATTTTTTTCCCAAGAGAAGTGGCATCACATAAATAAAGAGCTTTTACTTGGAAACCAAAGAGGTGAATCTGAAGCCAAAATGCTATCACTTCTAGACTAATTCTTAACAAGACTGAGAGGATGTAAATCACAGTGTAGATGGGCTTCTGAAGAATGCATTCTTGATTGATGCTTTTACATGCAGCATAAAGATGGAATATAGCTCCAGGAACCAAGACAATCACTAGTTGCAATGCCCAAAATACCTAAAATGTATCAAAAATCTGAGTCAAAATTAGCCAACGTGTAACCCAAAATGCAACAAAATTCACTGACTCTCAACAAAAGCTAACAAAAAATTCATGTTTCATAAAAGTCTTATAAACAATAAAAATATAATGGGGACAGTAATATTTAACACACTTCACTAAGATATTTAAAATTTAAATGCATAATAATTGCAAATATATGATCATAAAAAATTTAAAAAGAAAATGCAGTCATTTTTGACAATATTGCTTATCAATTACTGATATTAAGGAATTGTTTAATTTGTGTAGCAACTGAATCTCTTCATTTTAAATGCAAGTCTGAAGTAAAACTGTAACATCAATAGACATAGAATTGGAGGCCTAGCCGACTCCAGTGAACTTTTGAAATACACAACCAACTAAAGAAAAAGTAATATAATTCTCAAGGCAATGTCTCTTAAAGTGTATCTCTTTATGACATCATTTCACATTTAGAAAAAAAAAAGAAAAAAGGATCTGTTTCTGTTTCTGTTTGCAGAGTTAGTGCTTATTCTAGAGAAACAGAAAATCTTACCTGTGGTGTGATAGGCCTAAACTGATTGTAACAGAAGAGATTGATCTCTCTTTTGTCTGGATCACAGCTAAAATGCAAAGCCTCATTCCCATAAACCGCAAAGCCTAACACTCCAAGGAAGAACATCCGGACGGACCCAAAAAACAAGGTGTGGAATTGACCAATCACGGTTGGTGGTTTAAGCTGTTAAGGTTTTAGAAGGAAATAAAAAAAAAGCAGTTGAAAACAAATGTGAAGAGGAGACATTTTAAAGGATGTTCTTGTGATCATACAAGAAATTTAAGATTTAAAAGTTTTAAAGCAAGATACACCATGAGAGATCATCAAATCAATTATAAATCCTGCAGTGTAAGACTGCTTATATCCTTTCTTAAAATACGAAATGAAACAGTCAAATAGGGACATATTACCAATCAAATATGTATATTTACATAGCTTTAAATTCCATTAATATCTTCTTCCCTTGTAATCCTTTTGAAATAAAATCATGAGAATATTACAATGCATACTATTTCTTTTGGTAAATTAAATGACACATTCAGTGTTAAACTTAATAGACATTATCTTAAAACCAAATGATGTTTACTCTTTGGTCACTGTGGCTTTTTTTTCCCACTCCTTAGCTAGGGAACTGAGACAGTGAGCTATTTTAAAACATGAACAACTGAAAATACTTGCAGAATTTTTCTATTTATAGTTCTAGATTCAAAATATTTTGAAGTACATAGTTATTACGTATAATCATAATAAATGTAGAGGGAGTTATTCATCAACACTCATGCAAATGAGGTTAAAAGACATGGCAAAAACTCCTACAGTTGATGTTTTGGATAATACTCACACATCCTTCATAGAAGTTTTTGATGTAATTTAGAGACATGTCTCAGGAGATGTTCTCTTGGCATCCCTGTGGATTAATTCTTGAAGCACGTTGCCAGTTTGCTTCTGCCAGAATCAAACTCTTGTATTCCCTCATGCCTTTCACAGGGGAAATCACTTATCACTGCAAATTTCTCTCCCCTCCTCCTTCTTTTCTGCCTTTTTCATTTTCATGGATCTCTGGGGCCCCAGTCAACTTTCCTATCTCTGTCCCAAAACAAAACAAAAACGAAGAAACAAAAGCAGAGGGCATGTGGTCAATCTAATAATCCCTTGACTTGCACTATCAGCATAGCCAGCCAGCCAGGAGTGCCAGCAAAGCAAGAGGCAGCCAGACAAAGGCTCTGAACACTCAAAGCCCTGCAGTTACCTGAGAATTGCCTGCATGTAAATCAGGGTGTTCCTTTAGGTGTGCTGCAAAAGATAAGGTTTTGGGAAATATCCTCTATCCTTTCTTGTTTACTTCCCTAGAATATAACTGAGTTTTGGGAAGTATAATAAATTGCAACACAATGACAACTATTACATTATAAGTAGTATTTCTGATATGCTTCTGTATTTGTCATTTTGATGAATACCTGTACAGACATGAAAAGGTAACTATTACATCACTGAGTGTTTCTGTGTTTGTCACTTTGCCCCAGACATAAAAAATATGCAATCAGGTCTCTGTTCTAAGGACACAGATGGGGGATGCTAATCAATATAAGACTATAGACTAGCACAAATCATGAAAGCAATCTCTCTTTGCTTTTCTGCTTCAGATTGTATGTTATTCTGTTAGACAATCTTATAGGTGCTGAGGGTCAGCAGGGACAAACAGACAGGTGGCTACCTTTTACTAATATACCTGCTTCCATCCAACTATATCTCATGTATCTGTCTTCCTTCCAATTATAATACCACATAGCCAATGGAGGATCATATCTTTTTTATTTACCTATCTTTTTCTCTTCTCTTCTCTTTTCACTTTGCCTCTCCTCTCCTGTCCTCTCCTGTCCTCTCCTCTCCTGTCCTGTCCTCTTCTCATCCTCCTTCTTTCTTTTCTTCTTCCTCTCTTTTTTCTTTTTGTACCAGGAATTGAATTCAGGACTTTGCACTTGCCAGGACTTTGCACTGCTAGCTATATCCCCAGCCTCACTGTTTCTTGTGATCTGAAAATTTTAATTCCAATCACCTTTACTGCACTCTTCTAGCAGTGGAGAAATGATTGTGTAATGTATGTAATTGCAACCATTGACAAGGGCAGTGGTACTGTTGAATAGGAATGCTGTGCTGGACAGGAAAAACAAAAAACAAAGCCAAAAAGTGAACAGATCAATGATTCCTCAGAATGTTTACATAAGACATATTGGTGTATAGTCTTGACTTTTTGGAATCAGAATTGCAAATTTGCTTTTTATTGATTTCTATAAAGAGACAGCTTAAAGTTCTGTCATAGAATAAGTCTGTATAGAATAAGTCCTGTTTTGACTTATGCCATTGTATAGCAATGAATGTTATTGCTTAATCAGATATAGACAAGTGTTATATGCATAAATCATCAATGTCTTCCTGTGTCCTTTCAGGAATAAATGCAAATGTCTTAAAGGCATGAGTAGGAGACCTCTTCATTGTTGGAATCCATGAAGGGTCAAGTAGATAACACCAGGCTTCACCTTACAGATTTAATCCAATGTCACAATAAGGCCAAGGACTAATGCATAGAGGGGTCAAAGCATCGCCCTTACACATAAAGTTGGTGAGTGGTGCACTTTATTTCTGTGAGAAGTTGGGATACTTGTGTACATTGTTGTGTCTTGGTCAATGTTATTTTGCTACAGGGAGTGCCTGTATAAATTTGCAAGTCATGACATGAGAAGAACAGGATAGAACTGCTGATTTCTAGCCAGGCGTGGTGGCACATGCCTGTAATACCAGCACTCCAGAGGCTGAGGCAGGAGGATCATTGCAAGTTTGAGACCAGCCTGGGCTACAAAGTGAGCTGAAGGCCAGCGTGAACCGCATAGTAAGACCCTGTATCAAAAAATAAATAAATAAAAAGAAAAGAAAAAAAACCAAGAAAACAAATAAAACTGCTGATTCCTGCAGCGTTTTTGTACACAAGTGGAAGTTGTTAGGTAATAAATGGTAGTGCTCCATCTTGCCTTACAAAGATAAAGTAAATTCTCAGATAAGATAGTCAGTGTGGGAGGACAGGTTCACATATATGACAATTGTCTGTTATAGTGACAACCTGGGCTCCTATTCATGCTGGCAGTTGCACATTCCCCAAAAAAGCAAAAGAGAGTGATCATTAAGTAGAAACATTCCTTAGGGTTTTGCTTAGTACCCATTATTAGCATGTTACAATACCAAGCCAGGTTTGAGAAATAGCTTTCATCTCTTCATGGATGTGGAAAGTCATATTGCAAAAGTGTGAGTGGCAAAGTAAGAAAAAAAAAGTGTGGTCAACATTCTATTCCACCACACGTATTCTGTCATATATTCATATCCCTCCCATATATCTTAACCCAAGATGCAAGAATTCTCATCTAATTGTACAACATTAAGGTTAAAGTCCATGGTTTTGTGATTTGCTTTACCTCTGGTTGTGACTCAGATGTGACCCCTTTTTTCCAGAGTCTCAAGACATAAAAGAAAACATTCTCTTCCATTCTGCATCTGTATACCTTGGCAATGCAGGGATTGGATGACTTCAGTAGAGACATCTACTCCAAAGAGGAAGCAGCAAGAGAGACACATGAATGTCACAGCTCCATAACATTTCTGAAACACATGGGAAGAAATGTTGGCAGTTATGCCTGATTTGGAGAAAGAATTTTCCATGAAAAAGTCTATGACTTTTTCTTGGGAGCTGGTTCCACTCTAATGTTTTCTATTGCTTGGCAGAAAGAGTTCCTGGGTCCATTGCTCGGTCAATAAGCCCTAGTCTTTCAATGGCTGGTAGCTCTGCATTTTGTTCTTAGCTACATTTTGTTCTTGGCTGAATGTATTTATCTATTTCACAGAAAGAGAGAGAGAGAGAGAGAGAGAGAGAGAGAGAGAGAGAGAGAGAGAGAGAGTTGTTAACAGCTGAATAGATTCCTAGATTCCTTAAATTGTTTCCTACTAGGTGAAAGTTGGAGAACTACAAATATATTTTTTTTTTATAATTGGACTATATCAATCTCTTTTAACACACACTTGTAATTCTTTTGCTGGTACAATGTTGTTAATCACTTTTATTTTTGCTTTTCTATGTATCAACATACTTGGCTTTGAAAAGAAAGTATACAATTATTTCAAAAGCACACTTCTCTCCCTATATATATATATATTGACTGCTATTTTTGGAATAGGTTTTTACTGATTATACTTTAAATATCAACATCATCCTGATACCAAAGCCAGACAAGGAATATAAACAAAGAAACAAAACATACCTGCCTGCAAACAAGAAGTCATTATCCTTAATTAATATAAACACAGAACTCTTAGTAAAAATCAAGAATTTGGAAGGATTCAATAGCACAATAAAAGAATCTTACACCCTGACCAAGTGAGACTTATCTCTGTGATGCAAAGATTACTCAATTACTTAATGCAGCACATTGTATCAATTGGATGAAGGATAAAAAAACCCCATGATCATTTTGGTCAATGGAGAAAAAGCATTTGACAAAAACACCAATTCCTATTAAAAACTCTCAATGAAATAATTGTAAAATAAATAACTTCAACACAATACAGGTAAGATATGATCAGTTATTAACTTGCAAATCAACACCCTCCCCCATTCATTATCAAAATGGTGAAAAAGTTAAAACTTTCTGAGATCTGATATTAGGCAGGGCTGGCCACTGTCACTATTTGTATTCAATATATACCAGAAGTCCTACCCAGAACAACAAGGGAAAGAAACTCAAATCAGAAAGAAAAAAGGGAAATTACCTCTGTTCACAGATCACAAAATTATGTGAGCAAAAAACACTGAAGACTTAGCAAAAACTAAAATAATTTAAAACAAATAAATTCAATAAAGTTGAAGGATATAGTAATCAACATATGAAAATTAGTACCATTTCTTCACACAACAGGAAGCTATCCAAAAATGAAACTCACAAAATAATTAAAATAGTAATAAAAATTAACTACTTCGGAATAAACTAATTGTACACTAAAAGCTATGAAAAATTAATGAAGGGAATTAAGGAAGATACAGATAAATGAAAGACATGTATACTTATAGATTGGAAGAATACTAGTTTTTAAATGTTCTTACTATCCAAAATGATCCGCAGGTTCAGTGTGATCTCTGCCAAGATCTGTATACAAACAACACTCTTTATACAACTAGAAAAAAATTCAGGTATAACAACTAAAGATCTTGAATTGCAATGTGACCTTCAGCAAGAAAAATAACTGATAGCATTTTACTTCCTGATTTCAAAATACATTCAGAACAGTAATCCAAACATGGTGTTAGTGGCATAAACAGACATATCAAATCAGTGGAACAGAAGAATCTAGAAGTAAATCTATACAGCTACATCTCCAACAAGGTTGCCAAAAAGGGAATATTGGAGAAAACATGACAAGGAATAATCCCTCAGTAAATAGTAAGACTGGAGAGGACTAAAATTTGATCTTTATTTTACACTATATACAGAAATCAACTTGAAATGAATTAAAGATTTAAATGTAAGACATAAAATGGTAAAAATACCAGAAGAAAGCACAGAATAAATAGCTTCTTGATACTGGTCTGTGCATGAATTTTTGGCTATGACTAAATGTCAGGCAACAAGATAAAAAAATGAATAAGTAATATTGCATTAAAGTAAAAAGTTTCTGCATAATAAAGGAAACAACACATTGAAAATGCAACCTATGAAACAGCACAGAGTATTTGCAAACTGTATGTCTGTTCAGTAGTTAAAATTCAACCTTTATAGTAAATTCATCAAACTCAATAGCTACAATTCAAATATCTGATTTAAAAATGGGCAACTGGTCTGACTAGATGAATGCAGGCAGATGGAAAGACAGAGTAAGAGAGAGACAGAGAGGATGTGTTGGAGAAAAGGGAAGTCTTGTGGGAATGTAAACACAGTCATTATCGAAAATGGTATGGAGGGTCTTCAAAAATTTAAA